CAGTCTTGGATGGTTAATCAGGCACAGAGTACCTTGGGCCTCGGCTGCTGGGTCTCTGAGCAGGCAGGACCCGCCAGCCACTATGCTGACTCTAGCCTTGTGTCCACTCCATCCTGTACTTACAGGCACTTAGGTGTACGTGGGTAGACCACGCTCCCCCCACCTCCACCCCTAGCGGGCCTCCTCCCAGCAAACACCAGGCTGACCCCTGGTGGCTTATCGCTGGGGCCAGGATGGCCCTGGTTTGTGCTGTGGCTGGGCAGGAGGGTGGCCAGGGAAGGTGCCTGGTGTCATCTCTGCAGATGGCCCCTGGATAGGAAGCACAAGACTCACAGGCTCATCTGTGCCCTGCCCCGCCCCTGCCACATGTAGAACTAAGAAAGTCCTTCCCCTCACTGGGCCTCAGTTTCCCACCCATAAAATGGGGAGAAGCCAACACTCCCACGTAGGGTTGTGGTGGGGCAAGCAGGAGGCAGGAGGGGAAGGCCAAGGAGGGCCCCTCTCTCCTGGGCCTGCCTCACTGCTCGGGCTCTGCCAGGCTCCTTCTGCACACTCATGGGCCGCAGGCAGGTAGACTGGGCCGTGGGTTTCCCCCCAGCCTCGGGGCCCAGGAATCCAGATGTTTGCGCAGTTCTTCAGCTGCCGCTGGGCCTCTGCTTGGGGACGCACAGATCACAGGCTGGACTGTGAGGTCTGCATCCCTTCTTCCCCCCCTCTGCTGGGGGTAGGGAGGGGGAGCTTGTCTGGTTCCTCCCCCCACCTCCCACTCCTCACCCATCTTCCTCTTTTTGCTTCTGGTCTCTAGGTCCAGCCGGGTCTCCCCTCTTTCAGCAGGTCTTAACCTCTGTGCACGCTCTTCGTCTCTTTCTCAGCCCTGGCCTGTGTCACTGGCCCTGCCTGGGGGCCTGTCTCGTTCACTTACATTCTTGTGGTGACTCTACTTCCCTCTTAGTCTGTCTTCCTCTCTGCTGGTCTGTGTCCTCTCTCCCTTTCCCTTCCCGGTCTGTCTGTCCTTCCTCTCTCACTCTCCCGTCTCTCTCCTTTCCCTCTCGGCCAGCCAGTCTCCAGGCTGGGCTGCCATGCCTCTGCCTCCCCAGTGGTTCTGCCCCCAAATCACTGATTCCAATGCTCTGAAAGCTTGAAGCGTCTTAGCGTTGGGGCTGCCACACCCTCACCTCAGCCTGCCCTTGGCCACAGAGTGCAGGGTGGTCCACAGACCAGCTCTCTGAGACTCTGATGCCTCAGTGCCCCCATCAGCTGAGACTGGCCAGTGTGCAGGGAGGCTCTGGGACATCCCTGAGGTGGCATCCAGTGGCCAGGCTGGGACTGGAGTGCAGGAGGCCCCGACTGCCCCTCCGGATCCCTGGACCTGTGGACTCCAGACTAATGCCAGTCTGGGGTGGGATGGAGATGCCAGGCCAGCAGTCATGGTGCCCGCCCCCAGGGAGGGCAATGTCCACCCACAGAGGCCAGCCTGCCCACCCCGCCCCATCTGAAGTGCCCCATTCTGCCCTCGGGCACCCCCTAAGCTATGTACACAGGGCGGGGACACCTGGCTTTCTCTGGCCCCCTGAGTGGGGCCAACTTGGAGGAATTTCCCAAAGCCTATTAGAGCAGTGGCAGCCTTCTGCCTGCCTCCTCAGGCTGGGCAGGGCGAGGGTGGAGGGAGG